TGGCCATGCCAGGCTCGGCCTGATGAGTCCTGGTATTTAGCAAAAGGGCTCGTCGGCATTGGATATTGTAAAAGTAGAGTAATTGGTATAAAATTGCATATTTTTCTTTGCTTTCACTCATAACCTTTTAGTAATTATAAGGTATGTTGTCATTAACAAGAGTGAAATTTTATTTTTCTTCGTCAATCTTGTTTTTTTGTTGTTGTTTACTTCAGAAATTAGTAGAAGGACGCATGTTTCAAAAAAAGTTATTTGAAGCAACCATAAATTCATAAAGACTTACATGTCCTATTCAATTAATTTATGGTTTCTCTACTTTTACATGGTACCTATACTTTAAATATTATATCGGTTTATACCTTTTTATAAGCGTGTGACTTTCAAACCTCGTAATAAATACAAATCTAGATTGTATATTTTAGTAAACATATACTAAATTAGATATACTAATATAGTATATACTAATTATTATATAGTAATTATATATTATATTATATAATATAATTATATATTAAATAGTATATAATATAGTAATTAGATATACTAATATAGTATATACTAATTATTATATAGTAATTATACATTATATAATATAATATAATTATATATTAAATAGTATATAATATAGTAATTAGATATACTAATTCCTTTAACCCATAATTTTGCTCATTACATAAGACATGCGTGTTTTTTTCTATTACATATTCAGGTATAATACTGTCTTAAATGTATTTAATATTTCATTTTTCTATATTTCATTTTTTTAAATAGCAAAAGAATTCACCTTGCTTTGGACATAATAATATCTTATATTCAAATCATCGATAAAAGCTCTCTATGCTATTTCTACATTCTTAAGCAATTCTGCTGTTCTTTGGTGATCTTGTTTAGATTACTTTTACCTCAGGTTCCAAAGACGTCTATTTTGTTTTAGGTTTAAAACCCCTTTGTTACATACGACATACAACACATCTAAATAATTTCATATCTAAATTTCAAGTACTGATTTGGTTTTAAATGTCGTGTTCCAGCTTCAAAAATAAGGAATAAAGCTTGCATTCAACATTTTGCCCTAGGTAGAAAATTGTGAATATTATAACAGAGGCCATTTCATCACTGAGTTTCAGTACTTTCAAGTAGAACACGATTTACCAATTATATTTAATATCATGAAATAAACATTACACAATGTTTTGTCCGTCTTCTCTAAAAACAAGCTCGTCCACTCTCCATTGTTTATTATCATTTAATTGACGACGTGCTCTATGCTGTTATCTCTACCAAATACTTTATCATTTACATATTATTGCAGTACGTTATTTAAAGGAGTTTCGGTTTTAGTTTGGCTACTTCTGTCACTAAACATAGCTTACAGATAAACTTGTAAGTCATCATATGATTAGATAAAACTGTTTACTTTACCCAACTAAAACAACTAATCATATTTTACAGTTTCAATTTTAATAACAAAAACAAATATAATAATGAAACCCCGTTCCACCAACCATGCTGGCCCTTTCAGCCGTGGTGGCTTTATAATGTGACGGTCGATCCCACTATTCTTTGATAAAAGAGTAGCCCAAGAGTTGGTGGTGGGAGGTGATGAATAGCTGCCTTCCCTCTAGTCTTTCACTGCTAAATTAGGGACGGCTAGCGCAAATAGCCCTGGTATAGCTTTGCGCGAAATTCATAACAAACAAACATAATAAAGAAGCTGCCCAAAATACGTACGATAACAATCACTCAAACGAGTAAAAAACTACTCGGTTATTGAGACGCTAATTACCGTCCTTTTGTTTCTTCTCAAAACTGTTGGTATGAAAAAGAAACATATGGAAAACCTTCAGAAAATTCCTTGGTTGGTTCTACATTTTTAGAAAAAGAAAAACCAAACGCTTATTTCCAGATCAAAAATACATTAGTGGATAACTTAATTCCTTCTGTGACGCCCACATAGATAGCTATCCATCCATCCCTCATTTACGGATAATGTTTCACAATCAAACACGTGAAACTGTAATAACGTTTAGAAGTGAAATGGATGAAGACCGCCAAATTGTTTGTTTGTTTGTTATTGAATTTCGCGTAAAGCTACACGAGGGCCATCTGCGCTAGCCGTTCCTAATTTAGCAGTGAAAGTTTGTTTGTTTGTTTGTTTTGAATTTCGCGCAAAGCTACACGAGGGCTATCTGCGCTAGCCGTCCCTAATTTAGCAGTGTAAGACTAGAGGGAAGGCAACTAGTCATCACCACCCACCGCCAACTCTTGGGCTACTCTTTTACCATCGAATAGTGGTATTGACCGTCACATTATAACGCCCCCACGGCTGAAAGGGCGAGCATGTTTAGCGGGACGGGGATTCGAACCCGCGACCCTCAGATTGCGAGTTAAGCGCCCTAACCACCTGGCCGTGCCGGGCCCGACTGCTAAATTTTCTACTTTAACATGTTATCAGATTCTTATTATACTAAAATATATCCATTATAAAAAGGCACGTAATTCTGGTATTTTATTGTAATTTTATAAATCTTACTTACGTAGAAGCATTCTTTAATTATTAATGTTATTGTACAGGTAGTTGTGCTAATAAATGATTCCTTTACTGAAATATGAATTATTGTGCAAATTTATCGCAATGCAAATTTTAGTTGGAGCACCAAATATATTAATCTTCTGTATAAATAAATAACTGAGTATCTTACTAGTTTCAAGTTAATGTTGATGTATATTAAGCAAGCCTGATAAATATTTAATACTTTTAAGGTTTATTGATATTCATTTTAGCATCCTTATCCTCTCTAAATCCTTTCATATTTTTATTGCATCATGCTTTAAGGCACTTATTTACACCACTAAAAGTTGCGTGGTTCGTTTAATACGGCGATTTCATAAAGAAAAAAAATAGTAGTTTATAACTGCTCTCTATTTCCAAAACATTTTTGAAAATCCTTTTTCAAGCAGTTTATTTTATTTCAATGGGAAGACAAATAGGTCCTGTAGTTTGGATTTATGACAATATAAAATTTAACACAATGTAACACGAGGCATGAACAGCACCGGTATGGGGGTATTAACACTGCTGTCTGCACTTACTGGAGGCATTCTTATACTCACTCTTTTGATTTGTCGACGTCGTAAATGTAACGGTGCCTCTCGCGCTCTAAAGCCAATATTTTACCAAATCTTTCAACATTAAGCTTTGAAATGTGTTTGTTGCTTGATTACATATATAGTTATTTTCTTTCATATCTCGTTTCCTTTGAACAACTAATTCCCCCGGTGGTTCAGAGGAAAATTTGAGGACTTATAACGCTAGAAATCAGATTTCTATACTAGCAGTGGGCAGAGCACAGATTAGCCCATTGTATAACTTTGTGCTTAACAACATTTTGAATAATTACAAAGACATGAACAACCGTACATTATCGATACGCCTCACTTTAACTTCTGTGGATTGTAAGGCCTTTACATAATTTATGAAATAAGTTTGCCCAGAGCTGAACCTCTTTAGTGAAAGATGCCATATTTTTACTTAAAGAAGATAAAACTGAAAAAAAAAGTTATGTTAAACTAGATGAGCTTCCGCAGGGTTCCCAAAAGTGTTCTGTTTCAAGTATAAATAAAACCCAATTTAAAGTTGTTATGCTGTGTTGTAACCTACAGAGTGCATAATTCTTCTCGTGATTCATGGAAAGCACACGTTTTACTAACTTCGCGACAATACAAATTGCAAAGTTAAGCGTCCCTTATATGACGTAATTTTAGTGTATACTGACTAACTCACAAACAACACACTACTGTATAGTGATGCAAATGGTTAAAACAGGTGACCCCTCTAGGCAGCCTTCGGCTCCCTTTCGGGGAAACAAGCACAAAAAGCTAAAGTGAAGATTTCCCTGTTCATCATTTTTTTTTTTATATACATGAAGGTATTTTATAAAATATTAACTTAATCATTTACCTATTTCTGTATTTTTATATAAGACATTGCCTTTAATGTCATATTTGACATCAAATCAGAGGTAAAAGAGTAGACTAAAAACAGTGAAAGAGATAAAGTAATTATAGCTCCACTAAATACAGTGGCTACACAACTTTGACCTTAATTGCATGTAATTCTAAACAAGTCTCTAGATTAGAAATGTTGTTCGCACTTCTATGTACAGTCTAAATACTTTTTTTCGGAGAGTTGAACAGTTTTAGAATGCCATGCATCTAATTATTTTTATATATTTTTTATTGTACTCAATATATCGATAAAAGAAATTCACGTTAACCTACATTCGACACTAAGGTAAGCCGATGCCCTTTCTGGCGTCCCAATTCCATTAAATACTTCGCAAGTGTAGAGTCCAGAATCCTCTGCTGAGGTAGGGTTGATAAAGAGAGTGCCATCTGTCCTGACTACAGTACGAGTTACCAACCAGGTAAGTTGGGAAATATCTTTATCGTTAAACAACCACCGGTGGGTAAGGTTTGCTGGCAGCGCTTTCGCTTCACAGATTAATTCCGCCTTATCTCCTTCTAGTTTTGTAAGATTTCGCGGTGGAACAGTAATAACAGCTGGACCTGAGGAAGAAAAAAGCACGAAGTTAGAACCAAAGATGTTGACTTGACACAATACAAGAACTAGATAGGAGGACTTTACTTAGAGTTTGTGAACAGCGTGCTAATGAAAAATATAAATCAAACGAGGATTCTCGGCGACTTGATAGTGACTAAATTTTGTAAAACAATCAGAAAATTGTGATTTTGAACACAAATAAAATAGAAACTGAAAATGTTTTATTAAGTAAGCATGGGGAAATATTTACAAAATAACGAAAAGAAATAAGTGAAGAAAGAACGAAACATACCTTAATTTAAATAGATCAGTCAGTAGAGATGTTCGAACTTCTTACATTTTACAGGCTACATCAAGTTAATACAAAGATTCGTTAAGATCTGTGAAACCGGTTTCAGGCTCGTTGAAATTATTTGACTTATGAAGTCAGAAACCGCTTGATAATTAGTCTAGTTAATTATATTATGTATAGTTTTTATTAGTTGGTGTTTTGTTTATATTTTCACACTGCACAACGTGCCAAATGAAATAGATAATTTTGAGTGCACCAAAACTAAGAAAGGTAACATAATGAAGTAATGATGTACAAACAATCGAAAACCAGACGTACAACTGTGTTTCTTGCCAAATCTAAAAATCACTTTTTACGTGTTATTTATTATGAGATATATACAGGAGGGCAATGGGAAAGGTATATACAAATTCTTTAACATTTATAAGACGTATTTACAGAAGGCTGTAAATGTATATATACTACTTTATAATGTTCGAAAATGCTTATTGTAAGTACATAAGCTTAGGAAATATTTCATTCACACAGTTATGATTTAAAATTTTGTTACATGAAAGTTATTGTTTATCTAGTGTCATTTGCATTTAATTCTACGAAGTGGCCATTTTTACGTAGTTACAGTTGTCAGTATAGTTTGTTTGAAGTTAAGCCCAAATCTACACCACGGGTATCGAAACCCGGTTTCTAGTGTTGTAAGTCCTCAGACATTCCGCTGTGCTACTGGGGGTGGGCGTATAATATAGTATTTATATTAAATTTAGAAATAGGGTACCTAGGAACTACCGCCGCGTGAGGGCAGCACAGAAAATCTTGATTTCTCAGGTGTGGCTCGCATTATCGCTGTGAAGACGTTTACCATATTTCATTGAAACTAGGGTATATCATGACCAAGTTAAATAAAAAAAAGGATCTTCAAAGTTGTAAATAGACTTCTTTTCCTAAAAAATTAATTTTTTGAATGACATTGACGTTTCGTTTCAACAACACAGGTCATTAGATGTACGTATCGTTAATTCGTACTCGAAATGTTGTGATTGCATGCGATATTTGTTCAAATTAAAATCTTTTTCGAGTACTTGCATGATGGCAGATTATCAAAATCGAATGTTTTGCATCAGTTATGATATAATTCGAATAACCCATATAAAAGCAAAGGAAATCGTACTATAAAATGTCAGCCATACTACATCTGTCATATCCATTGCCTGTCCCCATTGTCAGAGTTCATTCGTAGGTCGGCTGGGATATGTATATATACATATATAAAGTTAATTTTAATTGTGCGAAGATTAAAAACACCAGTACATAAATAAATAAAACGCAGGCACAAAAACATCCAACACCGGGGCACAAACTGTAAGGTAGTTAATTATGGTATGTGCCCTGGTTTCTTGAGGTACCGGCAGAAGTAAGACCCAAGTTAAGTTGGGGTACCCCGTCTAACAGGTTTAACCTCAATTTCGGCGGCCTCATGTTATAAAAAAAAATAATAAAACGTGTGTGTGTATGCATTTTATACAGCAAAGCCACATTAGGTTATTTGCTGTGTCCACCGAGAGGAATCGAACCCCTGATTTTAGCATTGTAAATCCGTAGACTTACCGCCGTTCCACCGGAGGACACAAATAAAATAGCGACTGTTATGGTGAGAGTCAAATTAGGCAAGTAAATTGTAATTATTATCAATTTTATGTGAGTAATTTACAAATCAGATTTATACAGTAAGAATTAATAATAACACAAAATCATTAATTTTATTATAATGTTAACGCCAATTCATAGAGTTTGTGTGCAGGAAAAGGGTACTTTTGCATGTTTTAGCAACATCTGTATATGTAAATGTTGAAACGTTTTTCAACCATACTAGTATATCTCTGCTTATGAAGATATTACTTTCGAAATGTTCATGGAATTCTCCAGTGTGTTTGTAGTTTTTCAAGCGATTAGCTACTGGGGAAACGTTATTAAGAAAAATATTATTCTTGGAGTCTGAGTCATATAAGCTTCAAGAGTCGCTTAAGACCCGTCCATACCATTCTATAAGCATAGAAGGTCAATATCTTGCTGTCCTATACGATGGAGTATGTCCAATAACTTTAAGATATATATATGTTAGTGTATAATAATAATAATAAATACTAATTTCACTAATCGTTATAATAATAATAATTTGTCACAGTTTTTCGTGTTGTGAATGACGTACGAATACCGGAAGTAGGCTAAGGCCGTGTTATTGTTGTTGTTGTTTTGTGTGTGTGTGTGTGTGTGTGTGCTGCCATCTGTTAGTGACTGTATCAACAAAGTATGTCAATAAGAGAGAAAACTGGAAACGTTTGAAACATATATGTATAAGAGAGACAAACAATCAGGAAATTTCTCAATATAAATATTACTCAGTAATGAAAAATAATAGAACGTTTTAAATAGTTTATACTTTCTAAAACTACGTTAGTGTTGTTTGATGTACAAATAGAGAAAATTGATTCTTGTTGTAAGAATCATAATTAAACGTAAGATTTAGATATTAAAAACATATCAAAGACAGCAAAAAGAGAGGGCGAATGTCCTTTGTTTATCTGGTAATATTTGTCACTTTTAGCGATATAGCATGAACAAAGGCAGTGAAAGTGACGATACCAACAATAACAAACGAGTAATTAACTACATTGAAAAATGTCAAGAAAGTCCACGAATGTTTCAAATATATAAACAAATAAGTTACCATCGTAAATTGATGAAGATAAAGTAAATCAATAACAACTTATTACACAACAAGTAAAACGTGTTGCCGTTGAGAAAGTAAATACAGACAAGTTTTAACTAACACAATGAAGGTAAGAGTAAGAAGAGAGATTTGGGATAAGGATATAATTAGTAGTAGTACTTATTATCTGCGAAGATAGGGCTCCAACCAACAAAGCGACCTACTATAGGTGGAATCGGTTGAACAGCAACGAAGAGAGTATTATCAATGATAAAATATCGAGGAATCACTCCTGGAAGAACGTTCGTTGAACCACCCAATAGAGATAGCGCATGCTGATGGAAAATGGAGATGAGCTTACTATACTGTGAAAGTTGTTTGTGGCCATGATAAGCGTGACAGGGTAAAATGATAATCGCCAGGGAGGGACTCATTAGAAACTTTCTACAGTTCTTGATGAAATATGGAAAACTTAATTACGACCAAACAAGTGGGTTCGAAAACAACTCTTAAAACAGAGGGTAGGTTCGTTAGTGGCAGTGTGTAATGGGAATATTAAAATATGTATTACTGCTTTGAATGTATAAAATGTTTGATTAATATACGTCTAGTAGACTTCTAATTAATTGTCACAGACAGGCACCCATACACACACTTATACAAATTCGTGGCTGTTAACTAATGACCATATGGTTGCGTTAGGATGACCTTTTTAGTCTAATCATAGGTATTATCACTAAAGTAACTTGTTACTAGTGATCTGTTATCTAATTTCTTGATTTTCCTTTTCCAAATTTCGATCAGTGATTTAGTTTACATTAACAGTGAGATAATTCAACGAGTTAAGAAAGCATAACTAACAAATAAAATCGAAATAATGCAACACGGTTAAAATGAATATAGAAAAACATCTAATAGAGGCTTCTTCTTAAAATAAAAAGAAACATATCCTTTCTCTATGAAAACAGAAAACGTCAATGGTTCTCACGTGTGAAACAAGACTGAAAAAAACAACACTTTATTCATGTTCTCTCCTACACACTTTAGCGACATTTTTCTTGGTGTGAAAGAACCAATTTTTCGTCAGTAAACACAAACAGGGCATTTATTCACTGAAATAAAAGTTCTACTATGCGTTCAAGTGTTTGCCTGCATTTCTGTAGTTTCAAAATACCTTACACTGTAATGAATACTAGTTTATTTCCATATTTTTATGAAAATTCTCAGATTCCACACACTAAGCAAGATTAATAGTTTAAGCTGCACGAGCAGAGTCACGTAACTAATTCAGAGTTGGGAACAATACTTCTCAGGACGCACTCGCTTTTACTTCAGAACATGTATCAATCAAAGCCTTTCAAATGGTTAAATACAATTAAGTATCTCTCTATCAGCGTGATTAGCACTATAAATCCTGTCCCACAGCAACTAAAGCAATCACGGTTCTCCAAGCCAGTGAAGTTCATTAATTTTCATTAAGCTAGTCTAACAGTATTTACAACCAGCTGGTGCTGTTCACTTGTGTGAATGTTCTCTTTTCCAACCGCCGTATTAAGGTTTATTCCTTCACAATTTATTACTATACTGCAACAAAACTATAGAATAAAACAACAGAAACCATCCGAAATACATGGCGTGACCAGTAAAATACAAAATAAAAATAAATATCATGGTTTTTTATAGTTACATCGTGAAAATATATCAACACAAAATACAAAAATATCGAGCGAGAGAGAGGGGTGAATGAAAAAGGCATGCTTTAAAATCTTTGAGTGAATTTTCAATTTCTTCAATGCATTATTAGTGTTTCTCTTAAAAGTATCTGATAAGTAAATGATATAGAGCAGAACACTGAGAAATAGCCTGATCCATCATCAAGAATAAAAAAAAAACACGCACATAAATGAAATAAATATATTGTACAGAGTTTCCTTTCAGTTCACAACATATTTATCTAAACTTGTTTTACATACTTCATTTGGTAACACAGTCCTCGTGAACTATAGAATTTTTGAAAATAAAACAATCCAGTAAGGAATTAATGTGAATTTAACAAAGATGCAATAAACAATATTAAATTTCAAAACAGTTTTTTTTTTTCATTTGTTTAATCAGAATGTTTCTTACCAGCTACAATAACCTTTGTGTTAGCTACGATACTCCCTTCACTATTTCTGGCTCTGCACACGTAATCTCCAATGTGAGACTCCCGAACTTTAAATATTTCTAAACTTCCTCGATTGATTTTTATGTTGGAACCTTCATTTAGTGGAATGTTGTCCTGAAAGATACATATTTATTGTTACAGTATATACATAAATGCTAAAGTAAATTTCTCTCACGAACAACAATAGATAATTCTAGTAAACATAGAAGCTTAATGCCCTTTAACGTAAGTTGTTTTTGTCATTAGCTCTTTTGCGCAGAGTTACACAATGGGCTATATATGCCACCACAGGGAATTAAACCTCTGATTTTAGCATCCGAGGGACCACTTAACATAAAAAAAGAGAGTTATATAGTAATGTGCTGTTAGAATATAAATTAGTGTAAGCTTTAAAGGTGTGGGTTTTAGTACTGTGGTAAAGCTATGTATTTCGGAGCTTGCAATTTGGGTTCGAATTAGTACCACACCACAAAATAGTTCTCGCACGTCAAACATGCCACTCTCATAATGCACCCATGCACCTTAAGCTGTGGGTACATTATCAGAGAGGCAAGCAATCTCTGGGTGGTAGGATGTCGACTAATCAGATTGCCTTCCCTCTAGTCAGTATTTCAAAATTAGGGACGGTGGCAGATATCCTTAGTAGGTTTTCCACAAATACGAATGTAAAGTCTCATTGTTGTTGTTATTGCGTTCATCAAACTACTGATATCATTAAGAAATCATCAGTCGTGTGATTTGTTTTAATCAAGTCAAACAACAAAACATACGTCAACCTTTTACCCAGAAATATAGTTTATTTTACCAACTGCCTAAACATTCATTGTATATATATATATATCATTTTCTTAAATAATGTAATTAAATAAAGCTTTTTAACACAATATAAATAACAATTGTGTATTACTGCATCTTGACGAAGTATAATAAGTAGAATTGATTTTGATTACTAACTTAGTGTATTGATTTAGGCCTAGCCTAAATCTCCTTACGTGGCCAAACCTTCTTATACGTTATTGGAATTAAAGGTGATAATAATAATCTTGTTATTATAAATTTTATGCTCTCCAGCTGGTTTATATTATTGTATAAATATAATTATCATTATTTATCTTTTTCATCTCTAATACAATCTTTTAGAATTTAGACTATAATGCAGGAACTAATTTGTACTACAGGATTTTCGAAAAGTCTGGAACCCTAGGTGATTTGTAGCTTTTCTTAATTTCAGATACGTGACTGATTATGGCGCTGTCAAAACATGAGAAAGTTGAGTTAATCCTGCTGTTAATCCAAACTTGTTTCGCATTACAAGGACAGCATGTGGAACACGTACTGTAAAATTAGTTGAATTGCCTACGGTTCCAGACTTTTCGGACGCCCTGCAGAATAAATATATCTGTTTTTGTTTTGTTTTTTGTGCTGCTAAGCTATCTTGTTTAACGTATATTTTAACTCTAAAAGTATTTTAAATGTCATTATAAGGTTAAATGACGAGTAGCCACTGAAACTATGAAACAGATTAATAAACAAAGTTCAGAAAACAGGCTAAGGTCTCATGTTTTGTTCTTTAAATTATTTTTACAGTTTATGTATATACATTGTTGATTGTTTATTTGTAACTAAGCAGAAAGCTACACAATGGGCTATCTGTGCTCTGCCCACCACGGGTATCGAAACCCGGATTCTAGCGTTGCAGACATACCACTGTGCCACTGGGGAGGCATGTATATACATATAAAACAACTTGTATTCTCTTCAACTGAAATATTCAATACTAAAACACAACATTTTCCAAGCCTTTAATAATGTTTATTTATCAGTTTCGTATCTGCATGGTTACTGTTCAGAGTTACAATCTTCTTGGTATTCTTTATTTAGATTATGTATTAAACGATAAAGAAACAATTAGACATCCTACAATAATATTATTAGTTTAAGCTTAGATTAAAGGAAAGTATGTTTTACTAGAATTTGTAAATGAAAACCATGTAAATTCAACGAATAATAAAATTAAATCGATTTTCAACTAAATATGCATCTATTTGAATCGGGTAATATAAGGAAATCTATTTGGCTTACCATATACCAAGTGATATCCGGATCAGGTGTTCCACCTGCAGCACAGAAAAGAGCTAATTTTTCTCCTATGTTTACATACACAACATCGGGTGGTTTGATACTGAAATGTGGTGGTGCTGAAAAATCAACAAACGCCATTAGAGAGAAGAGAGTAATTATAACCTTCATTTTTAATATACCACATTAATCTCGTGACGAAACAAAAAAAGTTAGAACAATACCTATGAAATGTATTAGGTCGTCAAGAAATTAATGTCGCTTATGTATTAAAACAAAACATTTAGTAAATGAAATAGTCTCCATTCTTACCGATGATGCCTTTCCATCTTATAATCAGCTTGTTAATGGCCTGATTGAAGAAATCACTCAGCTCTAAAGCAAAAAACATGTCGAAGTTCTCTTTAACACCTTCCACATTTGCATACGTTTTCCCATTAAGATGGTGTTGCAGCGAACGAAAAAGCTGGTAATCTGATGGTGCCATTTCTGGAGAATATGGTGGGTGGGGAAGAACTTCCCAAACCAACTCCACAATCTTGTGTTGCGTAAAACGTGCCACAAGTGGACGTGCATTGTCGTGGAGAAGAAGAACACCTTTCCGATTGACGAGTGAAGGCCGTTTCTGATAAAGAGCTTGATTTAAACGTTCCAGTTGCTGACTATAGATCTCTACATTGACAGTTCGCTGTGGATTGAGGAGTTCGAAATGAATTATTCCTTTGATGTCCTACCAAATGCAAAGCATTACTTTCTGCGAATGGAGTTCAGGTTTTGGGGTCGGAAGTGATATTTGTCTAGGACTGAGCCATTGTTTTTGGCGTTTAATATTCGCAAAGATAATCCATTTTTCATCACTGGTGACAATTCTGTCCAAAAATGGTTCACGCGCCAGAAGAGACGAAGCAACGTTCACACGTTGGAAACGATTATCATTGGAGAGTTCGTGATGCACCCAAACACCTTCTTTAAGGAGTTTTCCCAAATTCCTTTGATGTTTGCGTATTGTTTCATGAGAGACATGCAATTTCAGGGCCATTTTACGAGTGTGTTGCTTTGGGTTAGACTCAAGAAGCGTCTTCAGAGCATCAATATCAATTCCAACATGTTGGGCCCTGCCATCACAGTTTTTAAGGCTAAATAAAATCACCTGAATGAAATCTGCTGAACCATCGTTGGCACTTACGAACGTTCAAAACATTTCCATAAACTTCTTTGATATTCTTTGTGGCTACAGAGACGTTGTTTCCCTTCTTGTATGCAACAACATTACATACCGAATGTGTTTCTCATCGTGCGCCATCACTATAAGGGATTAGAGTATACTAAAATTTACACATTATATACGTGACGTTTAGATGGTTCCTTTAACTATTATACGAGATGTACTTTTTTTTTGGGGGGGGGGGGTAATGAAAGTGTTCCAAAACGCGACATTAATTCTTGACGACCTAATAGTTTGAATTTCGCGCAAAGCTACATGAGGGCTATCTGCGCGAGCCGTTCCCAATTTAGCAGTTAGAGACTAGAGGGAAGGAAGTTAGTCATCAGACAACTCTTGGGCTACTCTTATACCAACAAATAGTGAGATTGACCGTAACATTATAACGCCCCCACGGTTGAAGGGCTTGGGACGGGGATTAGAACACGCGATCTTCAAATTGCGAGTCAAACGCCCTAACCACCTGGCCATGCCGGCCCGTATTGTAGTTAAAACAATATGAAAACATTATTTTCATATTTTTCTCTGAATGAATTTCATAATTAATTAAATGTGTACATTTTCTCTTCAACGGTAAAATATACAAACAAGAAAAATAACTAATAACTTTATATGTTTATATATATATATATATTCCTGTTTTTATTCTAATAAGTATTAAAATTCGAACTGTAGTCATTTTAACTGCTTTTTTTTCTGATTCTATTAATTTTACTATCGAATCTACGAAACCGGTTACTAAATAAAGACTATAGTTTCACAACTAATATTTTACTGTTCTTCTTAAGTAAAGTGAGATTTTAAACGTTTGTTTGTGAGACATATTATCAGTGAAATATTCTTGCCGTTGTTATGGCCATATGACAACCAAATACACTGTAAACTATCAATATGTGATTGTAGTCTGTTGCAGTTCATTTTCACAAGATAATAGGGTGGTATTCTCGTACTACTTATATGCCCTACTTCCAATCTGTTTACTTGATTATTTCCACACACACACATATATATATATATATGTGTGTGTGTGTGTGTGTTTGTGAATCTATTGTCCAAAAGCTGTGCCAGATATTAGTAAAATGAGAAGTTTGATAGAAATCTAGTTAATCCAGAAATTAAACAGTATGATCGTTTTAAGCCGAATAGCACCTTTAACGTGACGAAAGCGCTTCCACTATTAAAATAAATAGCAGTGTTAAGCTCGCACTTCTTTATTCTACGATCTTTCTTACATGGTTAAGTAGAATTGAAAATAAAGTTTAAGTACACCTATCTATAGATGCATATTGCTGCATGTGCCCAGAAAAAGTTAACAATAATGAGTTACTGCAACTATGCTACCTCTGTTATCTTATTCTTCTAAGTATGTATTAAATGATTAGATGTCTTAAGAATATATTGTTTGTAGCACATTTGTTTGGTTTTTGAATTTCGCGCAAAGTTACACGTGGGTTATCTGCGCTAGCCGTCCCTAATTTAGCAGTGTAAGACTAGAGGGAAGGCAGCTAGTCATCACCACCCACCGCCAACTCTTGGGCTACTCTTTTACCAACGAATAGTGGGATTGATTGTCACATTATAACGCCCCACGGCTAAAAGAGCGAGCATGTCTGGTGTGACGGGGATTCGAACCCGCGACCCGCAAATTGCGAGTCGAGTGCCCTAACCACCTGGCCATGCCGGGTCAGCACATTTAATATCAGCCAATATAGTACGCACAAAACTCAAGTAGCTTATAGCTTTATTTCAGCTTTGATGAGCATCTCATAATGTTGTTTTCTCAAATAAATTATTTTCTTTTAAGATCTATAAAAGGTGATATTTTGAATGAGCCTAAGTTAACTTTCGTGACCATGTATCAAGATACGTTCTTTTTTTTTTTGTTATTAAGTACAAAGTTACACAAAGGGCTATCTGTGCTCTGCCCGCCACGGGTATCGAAACCCGGCTTCCAGCAGTATAAGTCCGCAGACATACTGCTGTGTCACTGGGGGGCATCAAGATACGAGTTACTATACATTCTTAATATATCTTCCATTTGCAACGTCACATCCCCTATCCAGTTTTACTTCTACATAATTAGAAAAGAACAGTTTCAGTTTGTAAGCTATATCAGAGCTAATTCAAAAGATCTATCTACTTGTTCAAACGAATAGTGTAAAAATAATTTGATATTATGTAATTATTCATTTCTTTTCATTATTCTGATTTTCTAACAATTTTATAGGCTCTTTGTTTCTATGTTAAGCTACGCATACTCTAAATTCGTGCAGAAATAACTCAATGAACACCAGATATTTATACTGTGGCAAAAATATAGCATTCATGATAAACATGTGAACGTAAAATTCATTAAAAATAAAAGCTTTGTAAAGATTTTAAATACATTATAGTGTGTGTAAATGTTGCATGGAAACCTTCAACAGTTGTCCTTTTCAATATTTTAACAAACCCGAGTTTTAATTCTATTTGAAATCCATCCCCTGTGTGAATTCTCTCAGCAATGTAAAAAAAAAAAAACCTCCTATTTTCAATGACGTTTTAATTTTGTATGGTGAAACAGGAAAAACAAAAAACCTCTGCTAATGACTCAACCTGAGATGACTATAGGCATTCAAAACTACTACTTTCTTATGACTGAACAAACTCTAGACAAAAAAAAATTGTCAGGCAGATCCAATTTTTTTCTGAAAATATAAACGAATGCTGATAGGAAGAAATAAAATAAGTGTTTAAATGACATTTCGATTAGGCAGTGTATTTGCCTTTGTAATCAATTAATACTATTTTCAACATATTACAGACAAGGAAACAAAACTGAATAAGGAAAATGCTTAAAGAAAATATGACGAACTAACGGCTATATTATTACAGATGGTATTACTTTAATTCATTATAACATTATATAATGACAAAACATTATGAAGTTGATAAAGGGCTGGCAGCAAATCTATATATCACACAAGAGTTATAATATAAGTACACTGAAAACGAATTATTTCATAGACGTAATTGTGTCCATCAGAAAACGCAAATTCATTAGAGTAACATTATTTCACTAGTAACGGAGTATAATAGATGGAGGAACTTAAAGAACGTCTTTGCAATAGATGTAATATATATATATATATATAAATTAAGTAAGCAAAAAACTTCCATTTTCAGTTGAACAAGTAATAAGAACCAGCATGTGAAGATCGATAGCTTATAAATATCAAAGATAACTATTGTGCTATATTTCCGGTATTTTGGTGATGGGAACAACACACCTGAACAAAAAAAAAAAAAACGCATCAAAGATAAAAGCGCACCAGGAGAAAGATCACACAGCCGTGCTTTTAATCCATGGACCTCTTGAATATGAATGTTTAAATACTTTTAAAGTATTTTTCACAGCATTAAGTTATTCAAATTTCATCTTCTTCATTGTAGAAAAATAAAAAAGAATTACATGGGAATTGTATACAAATGTACTTGTTATTTAAGTCTGATGAGTACTTCCACAAGAGGTCATTACGTTTACGTTGTCCACGATCTTTTAGGGGATACAAAAAATATTATTAGATAAAGCATATAGCTTCACCAGTATTATTTTATCTGAATAGAAATCAAAATCTGTTTAGTCCAAAACAACAACAACAAAAAACAGAAAAAAAAAAACCTCAAGGCATCTTGGAATATCAGGCTGCAACAAATGATCTTTAAAATAAGTTAACAGCAAAAAATGTACCGATAAAATTACCTTTGCCTACTATCCCAAAATCTCAATTATGTTTCATGTGAAAAAAAAAATCTGTTTGAATTTGTTCTTCTGTCTGTTAATCCATTAGAGCGTATTATCGTTGCTGATAGCAAGTTACAGATAAGTACGGAAAACGTAACACTATTTCTTGTTGT